GACAGTTACTTGTGATAATACATTGTTCGTGGCTAGACTAGCCACAAGCAATGTAAAAGTTTTATTTATGCCGAAACTCTTTTGTGCACTTTCAAAAGTTGGTGAAATCTGATTAAGTTCCAGCCATCTGTCCTAATAATTTTTTTATTACAAATGGCATTTAATGAGCCTTGAAATAAGAAACAAACAAACCCAAGGGAAGTGAACTTCTGTTTCATTAGAGGTATGCTGGGATGAGAGAGTGAAAATCTGTTGTGATGTAAATTGGTAAGTGCAAATGATTTTGAAAGTGCATTAATGTTTGCTCTGAAAGAACATGGATATGTGAGTATTGTAAAGGTGTATGTATGACAGAGGTAAATTTTATATGAATTTTGGTTTAAGGTGTCTGTATTATAGGGGTGCATGCAATGAAAGGCATCTGTAAACAATTTACTAATGACCTTTTTGGTTTAACTTACAGATCAGTTCAAATGGAGCTGAGCTCAAGCTGATGGCATGTGATCAAAAGATTGTCAATGTTACTCTGGATGCACCTGTAAGTTTGTTGCTCGATAATATATCTACCCAAAGCCCAACACCAGCAGGGTACAAAACGCAACATGTAGTGCAGAGAATGATGACAACATTTATCAAGAATAATTATTTAATAATAAATAATAATTTCTGATAAATATTGTCACTCAATCACTCTACTGGTATCCAACAAAACCTCCACTATGTATGTGTAAAAGTACTCTGTCACAGACTTGGCAATTGCTAGAACCACCAAACGTAGAAGCTGGGAAGTTGCCTGCAATGGTTGCATGTACCCGGGCCATCCAGGGACAGTATTAACACTTGTATCTACTTTGTCTTTTGGAAGATGGATTTACCTGCTAGCCTCTTGTTTTTTCAGTGTTCACATAGGATTTGTATGACCCATACACACCTCCTTAGAGTCCCAAGAATTAATTCAAAATCAAACACCAACCTTTCTTAAAATGCGGCAAGGCTAAATGCCTGAGTTGAGAGAAGTTGGCATTATTTCTGAGTTACCTTGTCCCTCTGTTTTAGAATGAATCATGCAAAACCTTTCATATGAAAATAAGTTTTATTTGCATGAAAACGAACATGTCTAGGACATGTAGGTGGAACACATTTCGATGTGAATGGTGTTGCACAAAGACTTGTCTTGACATAGGCAAAATGACATTCGGAAGTGGCCTAGTGAGGTAGGGGATATGGTGAAAAGGCATAGTAAGATGAATTACATAACTTACAGTAAATCTTTTGCTGAATAACTTAGTTTTATTTTATCAAACTGTTTAGCTTGATGAACAGCTCCAAGGAGCAGTGGAAATTATAGGGAGAGTGGAGCGTAATTGTTCCTTATCAGGTCAAAGAATTATTCCATACAATGATGACTTTGGTAAGTGAAGCTTTTACTTTGCAATTTAATGCGACATTTTGAAATTTGGACCTTAGCAAATTCTGAACAAAAAAAAGAAAACCTAAGTCACATGCATGTTCACGGTTTATCAATACATGACATGGTTAAGTCAGGGACTTCACTTTCTGTTGTTCTCAACATTAAGGAAAAAGTGACTTTTTCTTTTTTTTCTTAACTGTGAAGTCACAGGATTCCTATTGGCTGCCTTATTCAAGCCAATTTTATTCAACTGACAAAAATAAAAAAAAGTTATAATTTACAACTTTGTCATTAGAATTAGATTTAGAATTAGAAAAAGAGAAAATGACATTGGTTGCAGCTTAGAAAGAAAGTCATATAATCAGGCTACTTAATTCTACCGTTTGCTTAGGCAAGTGAGGGTTTTTTGGAGAACATTTAAATAACAGGTGCTATAAAGAGATCAAGTTGCTTTAATTTTTCACAATTAACTATTCATGTTAGAGATAATTCTTTTGGCAGGGGTAGGGGGTTGGTGGAAACATTTTTCAGACTAGTACCTCCAAGTTACAGTTTGCCAAAGGCCAAGCACAAAAAATTAATTCCCTTTAAATGTTGTTGTTTCATAGATTTGGAGCTTTATGGTGAAGCTGTATCAATGACAACTGATTTCCCTGAAATATTTGGGTCAACACAATCAAATGGATTTGGTTACTAAGGAGATGCACAAATAAAGATTTTTCAGTTGTCACCATGAAGTAATACAGATTGAGATAATAGTAACTTAAATCACAGGATGTATCTTGATGAAGCTCACATGCTCAAAGACTGCTAAGAGACAATTACTGTATAAAATATCCAAGAAGAGACTGATGTTCATGAATTTTCAATACAACTACATGTAACAATTGCAAGAGTAGGCATATTATTGTATGACCTTCTTCATCTGGTTTTCATATTAGAGATGTCCCAGAAGTGTTTGTAGCTATTGGTGAGAATGAAACAAGGGTGGAGGAAAAAACTGTTTAGTGTCTTTACCTAGAATGGATATTTGTCATAACTTATTAGTGATGTGCCAGTACATGATGACTCATGTTTAAAGGGGCTATGTCACAACAAAGTTTCTTTCGGTTGATCAGGAGCTCTAAACAATCTTTTAATGGCAAAATCCCCACCACACAACAAGGATGGCATTCTCAAATAATAAGAGAAGATTTACGAAAACCTTTAGAAATAAATATCAACACTAAAAAATACATTACTTTTTTGACGACTGCATGTTGCCATTATCAAAATAATGATGAAGCAATCAGACTCTATTCATGCAATTAGCAAAACTTTTTGTTTAAGTTTCCTTAATTGATGAATACTCTTGGTTATTTATATAATCTATTGTATTATTCACATTAATTCATTTTCACATTTTTTTGCTTAGTCAACTCCGTAGTTTAAACTTGATTATGATGACATGTGGTTGTCAAAATGTTGTCTTCATAAAAATTGAGGCAAAGTTGGAAAAAGCTGGGGCATTTTTCAAGTTAACCACAATGCAGTCTGTTTTAAGCTTCTCCAATTTTGCCCACCCATACCTCCTTTTTGACTTTTCTGTTTCTTTTGAGTGTTGTGGTTTTAAAGCCACTATTATGATGTTTCATTTAAATCTATGCTGAATTTGTGTAAGAAATTCATGACCTAGACCCTTTAAATTGGATTTTTAAATAGTCAGACCAATTTCGTATTCTTGGTAATGGACTTGAGCTACCTTGCAACTGAGGCTAATGCAGGGAGTCTTTTCAAATGCAAATGGAATTCATCTCGTTTTAATGATATTCCCCCGCATGAGCCAGCAAGCTAGTTCCAGTCCAATGTTCAGAATACAAAAATGGCCTTTTTCCAACCAATGCAAGGTCTGGGGCACATTATCAAAATGGAAATGTCTTCTTTAATCCCTGAATTTCTCAGACAACTAAATCATTGTGTTTTCATGAGCAAAAAATACCACATTGTCTGGAATTTTCCCAAAGTATGATGTATTTTTCTATGGATGAATTACAAATGTTACATTTCGGAATTTAAACTAAAAGTGGCCTTTAGAAGCGGGATCAAAACTACTATGAGCGTTTCAAGATGTCATGATGCCTTTCTCAAGTGATGAAAAATGTTAACTGTAATGTGGAGTCAAATGACAAAGTGTCTCTTCACAGGACCAGTCTCAATTGAGGGTTGGGGCACTGGATTTCAATCGTCTCCCTTCTCTGTTATCCTTGAGTCAGTTGTTTTGCCTTGGAATGATACTTCTGTTTTTTTAACTTTAAAGCCTGGCCTTCTTTTTTAGTTGTTCCTTAGCTGCAGTAACTGTTGCTCTTGTGGTGCTGATGTGTTCCCTGGGCCTAGTGATGAATGCTCTTCCTGTTTTGCCGATGTTGTATTTTCCAAAGTCTGCGCATTCCAGTCTGTACATTGGGCCACACTTTTTTGCATAAGGAATGTGGTCCTTTTTAGGGATTTGATGGTGTTAAAGGGTAGATGGAAGGTGTTAGTAACCTGTGTCCGTATAACCAGGGTGTGCTTTTCTGAAACTCCTTGGACTAATTGAAACAAATTTGAAGTAGGTACACCGTACATCAGAAATCACTGTTTTCACACCATAGGTGATGTATTCAGTCTCATTTCTTGCTACTCATCTAATATGCGAGAACCACTTCAACTGTTTACAGAAAATCACGCGATCTTTTACGTAGGTTTTTACAGTACTGTGTCAAGTATTTTATTTGAAACACCATATTATAAACAAGGCTAATACACAGTTGGAAAACATTTGCCATCTATTTTAACAAGCCTATAGAAACTGTTTTTTAAATTGTTAAAGGCTCCACTATTGCTGTCATACTTGCACAGACAAGGTGGAAAATTTTTAAGTATCAAAAGTGACAGCTTTTTCAATTTAATGAGAACCTGCTCAACTCAGGTAAATTGATTTTGTTTCATGATCAGATAGGAGATCAGTTAACATCAGACAGCAACTGTTGAAAACATTTGATTCACTAATTGATGTTTCCAGTCTGGGTAATAGAATGATTATGTACAAGTCCAAATATGTTTTCCAAAGTGGATTTTGTCAGCTCTGTGTTTACAGGTCAAATTTAAGAAATATGTGTTAATCAGCAAAAACAGTTTTTCACAACTTATTTGTTCAACATTTCTTTTATTTTCGGCAATTATAATATTAAGGATAACATTAGTTGACTTGGATCAAGATTTCAAGTGTCATAAGAGTTATGGTTCCTCTAAAATTTAAACTGACTGATCTAATTACGCCTTAAGTATGGTTCACCCTTGTGAGATAAGCACAAGGGAAAGTGTAAGCATATGCACAAGAAGAAGAAACATTTTCCTTTTTCTTGTGCTTATGTTTGTTTATTTCACAAGTGGGAACTGGTGGAAATAAGTACAAGCATAAGCATAAGAATTCAGCCGATCAAAATAACACTGCTCAGATCTCCTCTTGGCCAATAATCACTGCACACGATTCGAATATGTTGCTCATGTGAATATCCTTGTGCTTATATCACAAGATTGAACCAGGCTTTACCTTCTGCTTAAGTTAATGTATTTTCCTCAGAAGGGTCATTAAAGGAATTCAGGACAAAGCAACTCTTTCTAGCAAGCTGCTTGAAGTAAGAGGATGTCTATTGTGAGTATTCCAAAAAACAAAACAATGTATAAAAGGTTGCTGACTATACCAAGCATGTAAGAAATTTCAAACGAACACCAAGACAATCCTTGTTTTTCTGTGTACCATGTTATAATAGAACCTCATCTTATGACCACAAATATTAACCACACACTTTTGCATAAATGGTGCTATTGATAATTTTAGGATTTTTGGGCAAATCTGTTTTTCATGAGCATGAATGATGTTTGTGGAAACAAATTTTATTTTGAATACAAAGACAAAATCTTCTAAAATCACAAAAGAGGAAACTGATAAAATTGCTAGTCAAAATGGCCGACTTGTTCAGCTTAAATAATGACCAATGGTTTCAACTATCCAGTATTGCTTGATTTTTGAATCTAAGAATTAAAACTTTGCCTGAATAATGCAATCATTCAACTGAACCGTCAGTTCAAATATCAAATATTTGGATTCATGAGAGAGTATCATACTCTGTCCTTACGTGAGAGGTTACATATCAAAACAAGAAAACAAATTGTTGATAGAAATACAGGTTTTGTTTCTAGGACAGACTTGCTGACCGGTTGAGCTGCAAAAGGAAAGCTTGGAACTGCAAAAATATCCAAAGCCTGATAACCAAGAGCCTAGGAAGAGGAGAAATACCAAACCAGAAAAATTCTAGAACTGATTGCAATTGGCATGTTTAACACACCAAAGTGCAGGATTTGCATTTGTCTGATTGGAGAAGGCACAAAAGAAGCTCTTGCATAATTTTCAGATATGCAAATTTTAATCAAATTTATGTTGTAGAAACAAACTGCAATTAGTACTTTTTAATCAAAATTACAACTTTTGCTTTGTTTACTAGATGTTCTTTGATCTTTACCATGGGGATGGCAAGACATACATTTTCATTACTCCAACATTTGAACAAAGTGAAGAATGATCATCACAGTAAATTTTCCAATTTAAGCAATTGGAAAGAAGAAGCCTGAAAAAATCAGGGCTTCAATGGGATTCGAACCCGTGAT